CTCATATACGTAAATACACTGGGCTTGAAACATCATGGCTTAGTTCTACAATGTATTTGCCTGAAACTGAGAGTATCCCCACAGGTTCCACACAAATATTTATAATGAAACTCTGAGACCTTTGACTTTGGGAGGTGTGTTAAGAGCGAAAAAATAGTCTGCAAGAATTCAGTATCCACTGCTGCTTCTTTGACCAAAACTGGCTACTGTTAAAACTGTTTTTGCTTAGGGAGAAAAAGCAGCTGTTGGCATTTCATTATGTCTGCTTGTATGTGAAACTTTTAAGGCTGCCATTTTTTACACACTGACTTGGATGTAAAGATTCTTCCAGATGGAGGACTCCTAGTGTTACCAGTCAAAGGAAATTGTACAGGAATCCCATCTTTTCCTTGTTAATGTATTTTTCTGTTATAAAAAAGATGGAAGAAATGGTGGGAAAACTTGGGCAGGGGGTTATAAATGGAAGCCACTGTTGTCAGGTTCCCTCATTTCCTACCCCAGCAAAATTCCCTAACTGAGGCAGGGCAATATCAGTATTAAAAGCCTTGTCTGGAAGCACTCTGCATCCCACCGAATTGCAACGTGTGTCTTGTCACTTAATGGAAATTACTTCCCAGATTTTATGGGAGAAAATACTGTTGCCTTAAAAACAATTTGGTTGTGCATTTCAAATAAATAGTATCATTAAGACCAGTTAGAGTTTGCTTCATAAACAGCAGATGAAGTGCTAAAATTGCTCCTGGACTGCTCCATTTCATATTATAGTTGAATAATTGTTTGTGGAAACAAAAACAAATCAAAAGAAAAATGCCGTTCATATATAAAATATTGAGAAGAAAAAAGCAAGGCTAGAAATTTCCTCTTTGACTTCCTGTCAGGAGGGTCATTCAATCATGTGAAAAGTAGGCCTCACCTGTTGTCTGAAATGGTACAGTTCCCAAACAATTTTACAACTTACTTTTCCTTTATGTAAAGTAGAGCTATTTTTTATAACCATCCGCCACGTATGGGCTTACATTTTGTTATCCTTCCTCTAGCCAGTTTAGCAAAACCTTTCCTAGGTTCACATGGAAATTGAGGAGATTAAGGAGGAGACAGATTTGGCTGTGCAGTGAAGCGGTAATAGCTAATTCACAAGGTGCCCAAGGTCGGCCGATCTTCCCTCAACTCACGTTTAACACTTTTTTTCAAGAATGTGAGTTAGAACTTTTCTATCTCTATGTGTAAAGCTATGTATGTACAGAGCAACCCAGTGAAACAAAAATTCATTCTCGCACACCCCGGAAGGTCTCTTCCAGCAAAGTTCAGTATGCTGATATTCATGGAATTATGCCCACAGACATAAAAGAGACTAAGCATATTTTGAAAATAATGTGTTAAACAGTAGAAAGGAAATCTTTTAAATAGCTTTACAAAATTATCTGCCTTTCCAGAAAAAGAAAAATCATAAAAACAAAACTGTCCAAGTGTAAAAAGGTGTTGAATACCAGTCCCATTATATTCTCTCAGTACAGAGTTATTAAATTGTCTGTTTCTTATGTTTTTGGCTAGAGTTGTTGGCAAATTTCTTCCATCTATTTTTGCTGCTTAAGAAGATTCTTTCAGTACTTATACGTTATTGCCACCTATTGGCAAATGTTTCAGACCACAACCAGCTAACTTTGCTTGAAGATCTGGGCAACACTCTTCTATTACTTGATCATAACTTATCGTATTACTCGTATGTTCTTCAATATATACCCCAAGCCATGCACTCTAAAGGAAGAAAGGAAGGAAAAATTAAATAATGTTATATAATTGCAAAGGTTATATAATCCATATAAGTGCGAAGGTGCAAAGTGCAAAGGTTTATGGATGGAACTGCCAATGCATACTTGAAAAAAACCTAATGAAATAAAGCACAAATAAATTACTGAAATAATTTGATGCATATATAGAAAATGAGCTCTTGGACATTTCACTGGCAGCTCATTTGCATTCCGCTTCTAGACTCAACTGCTCTTATATTTACAGAATTGCAAAACAAGGCTTGTAAAGCAAGCACACATCTAGCAGAGTAGTATTGGTAGCTTACCCTTCCCTGTAGCATACATTGGGGTATGCATTTGGCAATAGGTGCTGAGTTTGGAAGCTGTGCATTCCCAGGTGCACACCCACAGGCGTGTACACACTTTTGCACATGTACAGTTGTATGCCTCACTCAAGTCTGTGTGTCTGCATATGTGCACACACAGTCAGTGCACATCAAGGCATTCTATCACAATCATGGGCCCTTCTGAAAGCCTAACTGTGCATACAGAGCCTATTGAACACTCAGTTTGTATGGTTTTCTCTGAACCTGAGTAGAAAAGGAATGATTTCAGTCAGCATGAGAGTGTTCCTCTCCCTATACATTTATAGTATATATGGTCACCACATGTGCACAATCCAGTTCTGGGCTCCACTTTATAGTATAGTATATAGTATATAGTATACTAGCTATAGTATATAGCTAGGTTAGAATCACAAGAATGGTAGCCAGGTTAGGAGGGAAGACATATGAGGAGAGATTGAGGGAACTGGGTCTTTTCAGCCTGGAGGAGACTCCGAGGGGATCTTTTAGTGACATATGGAGGGGATGTCATGTGGAGGGGGGCTGTGACCTGTTCTTCCCTGTAGTGGAGGACAGGGCATGTTCCCATGGGGCAAAGCTCAAGGAATCAGACTCCAAGTTGGATGTCAAGAAGTACTTCCTGACAGTTATGTCCCTTAGGACTTTCAAGGGAGGTGGTTGAGGACCCATCAGTGAGGGTGTTCAAGGAAAGATTGGACAGCCATATGTTGGGAATTACATGAGCGGGACTGGCTGGAGCCAGAGGTCAGACTAGTTGGCCTGGGAGACCCATTCTGACTCACTTTGTTTATATGTTGCTATGTTTCTATTGTGAGATCTGCATTCTTGGTGAGCAAAGCAATGAGGTAAGACAAATCTGCAATGGGTGAATTGCATTCACTGCACACCTAATGTTCTCGTTTAGCCTCCAGGACTGGTCCAAGACATTTTAGCTGCCTGAGGCAGACAAGTCCTACCCTCATCCCCCAGTGTTACAAATAGAAGTCAACTTGAGTGGGAGTTCAGTCTTACTGCCAACAGCAGTGTCCTGCACCACATCTAAGGGCAGCAGGCTAGTATAGGGGGTACAGGGCAGGCACAACACTTCAGCAAACCTCATTTTTGACAGGACCAGCATCAGAATATCAGTGTTGGAGTTGCAAGGGAATAGGGATTTTGGCATCCTAGGAAGGAGGCTCCTAAAGGTCAACCTGCTTTTCTGCCCATAAAGCCTCATCTCAATGGAAGATTACAAAATCCTACAGGTTCTGGCTGCGATATCTTCCCAGGGGCTATGGAACTGCACTGTCACTCTAACATTACTGTAATTTTACTCCAAAGGTTAAAAAAAAAAAACAGGAAAGGTATTTAGCAGAGGTAAGGACCAGCAAACCAAGACTCTTTCTAGTGAATAGTTAGTTTACATGGGGATGCCTGTCCCCATTTGCAAGAATGGCTGCACTGGAGGATGTTACCAGAGTCATCCATGCCTGAAACTTTGAAGGAAGACTTCAGTGTTTATTAGTGAACTAGTGGATCTGCTTGTATTTGGATAGAATGGCCAATTCAAATCCTCATAAAAGGCCTCTGGGAAAGGCACAGTCGTGGGTTTTGATGTCTTGGGGGGGGCGGGGGGAGACATACTTTAACTCCTTGACAGCTGACTGGAGAGCTCTGGTGGTTTAAGAATATCTTTACTGAGTTCAAGTGTGCAGTTCACCTTGGGCAATAGAATAAGGAAAATGTCTGCCTGGGATATACATGTCTGAATGGAAAATGGAGAAAATCAGTTTCTGTTCAGAAATTCCTTCTCTTCACATGTGCTACTGTTAAAAGATGCCTATGAAAGTGATAGAGAAAACTAGACAGTGTCTTTTCCATTTGCTTATGGTATTGTGCTTTCCTGAAATAGTCCCTTTTCTTTCAGGAGATGGGATGAATTTTGGAACTGGAAGAAACAACAGAGGAATGGGAATCTGAGTTCCTAGAGGGTAACTTCTGGGCATTTTTATACATACATTTGGTTCTGATGCTGGAAGTATGGCCAGTCCTCTCTTTCCATTGTGTGACTTAGAAAGTGATGGGACTTCTGGTTGCTGAGGCAAATTGTTCTGATGGGAGCAAAGAACTACCTCTCTCTAAAATGTAATTCTGAGGGATGCCTGAGTTCTTTCTTTCCAGAAATGTCTTATTACAGCAGGAGGGTAACAAGAGAGACAAATTGTCATTTGAAACTCACCTCTTTATTACCTACTGAAGTTTAGAATTGACCTGTACTTTGTGACATTTTATTGGCATTTAATTTTTTAAAGTTTTTTTCCCCTGGACATATCACTCTTTCTTTATTCCAGACTCACTGGAAATCTCTAAAGTCAGAGAGATTTCACTGGCCATTGCTCAGGTCCTTTTAAGCTAATCTTCGCATCAATAGCATCAACTTGAAAAAATGAAGGTTTGAGATTCTCAAAAGATTTTTGCACTTGGTGACATATTGTGAATCATTTGCAGTTTTGCAAACAAAATACCCCAAACAAAAAAGACAAGCTTCTACACACAGAGAATACCATGCTATTCATAATGAAGCATTAAGTTTTACAACTCCCAGTATTTCCCAGCCAGCAGACTGACTGGGGAATATTGGTAGTTGTAAGACTTTTTTTCTGTGAAAACATACATCGGATGGCACCCAAAGATATAAACTGGTGGAATCCCAGCACAATTTGTAGAACAAATGTTAGCTTTATTGCATAGTACATGATTCCTTGTAGAACGTCCCTGTTTCAGTCTCTGGCATTACTGAGTTTTCCAGGGAATTAATACATTGGTGGGCTAATAAATTTACTATATATGAAATACCATGAATTATTAGTGCAACTATGTGAAACAATAGGTATCAAATGAATATTCATTAACAGGAAAATAATCTGATTTTTATTTTTCACATTATCAAGTACACATTACAACGTCACACATCCCTATATATGAGTCTATGTAATTTGCTTTCTCTTTTTACAAAGTTTACACAGGGAGGGACATAAGAATATTTAACAAGCATTTTTTACAGAACAATTATTTATATTATGTTCTTGTTGTATTTTTTTTAAAATGTACCGTTTAAAACATGGAACTGAAACATCAATTATACAGCATTTGCTAATCAAATAAAACTGGCCTGTAACTAATATCAGTACATTAACATTAACTAGCTTTTATTTGCTCTTTATACAGACACATTGTACAAAATCCAGTTGACTAAATGCTTCATTTTTTAACGTTTCCAAAATTATGCTTCAGTCAAGGGTTTGATTCCAGATGATGTTAGAGAATGGAAAGTGAGTCAAATTTTGTGTTCTTAATATGCTCCAAAAATAAATGCTCCAAAAATATAGTACTTTTTCAGTATGGAGTAACACATTTCAGCACCAGGCTTGGAATCTGAGGTGGTTGAATACATTTTAATAGGGTTAAAAATCACTCATATGTAAAGGTTAGAAATTTGGGCAAGACTTAAAGAAAAATGAAGTACTTAGATTTCATAGGCTAACAGCTGCATCCTGAAAACAGGTGTCAGTAAATGCAGGTGCTTTTAGAAGCGGGCATGTTCCTAATCTTGCAACAGTCACCACAATCCCAAAATCTTTACAGGGTTCCACTAAACTCCACAAGAGCTTACTTTTTCACAATTATCAAGGAGTGATCCATGGCATGTGCACACAGGAACTGCAAGAAAGCTCACAAGTACGTCTAATTACCGTGGCTTTCTATCAATTTTTCCAGTAGTTTGATGAACATGGAACAGTCCACAAATGTTAAAAGATCAGAAGTAACATTGTTCCACCTAAATCCAATGGTCTTAGATCTGTATAAACTAGATGTTTTAGTTAACATCTGTTTTCACATATGACTTTCTCATATAGTAATTCTAGTTCTCTATTAAGCAAAACTCATCAGCCTGAGAATACTGGGATTTCTGAAGGAATGTAGAGACATTGTGTCTTCTGGCTATGTATCATAGGATATAAACCTGATTCCTTGGGATATCAAGTTTCTGGTTAAGGAAAATGGTAAGAAGTAGGGAAGGTATTATGCAAAAGCAGCTCATTTGAAACTTGCTTCTCACTTTCAGTAAGTTCGACCAGATTACTTCTGAAACTCAAGCAGGGGAAAGGAAAAGAAGCAAGCAAGCAAAAAAACACCTAGAGTATCATAGCTTTTTCTTCTTTTAAAGTAACAAATATGGTACATGTACATGACGAAAAATGTGAAATTCCTTACAGTGTGCTTTGGAATTATTTTTGTTTTCTTACTTAACTTTTAAAATACAGAGTCCTCATGTGCCATGAGGCAGAGTGCAGTAGCTTTGCTTTAGCAATAGTTTTCAGCGCACAGGCAGTCATTGCAACATCTTTCCGGAAATTTTTAAATAAAGAAGAAATGGATAAATTCTAGAAACTTACTGTTTTATAAACCACTGATAAGAAAAACTCTGTGTTCCTAAAACAGCAACAGAGAAAACATAAACAAGCTGCTGGAAAAAATGCTTCAGAAAAATACACCTGCTTTTATTCTTTACTCCGTCTGTTTTCTCTCTAAATAGTGTATAATAATTTGCCGAAGGCTGCTGGTAGATAGTTATACATGCGACCGGACCAAATATTTCATACAGTTAGAGTCTTGTAATAAAATTGCATTTAATTTGGGCTAAACTTAGCAACAGTAAATTGATTACTTTATCCTGTCATCAACAGAAACAATACGTTTCAAAACACAAATACATTTGTAATACAGAACCAAAAGGCAGAGAAGCAGCTAATTAATACTTATGAACAAGTGCAAGTTTTCTTTTAAAATCCACACCTATTGAAAAGAAATGCTCCCAGCAACCAATGTATTTCTTACTTATCATGGAAGTATTAAACACTACATAAAATAGCTTCAAATAATGGAAAATAGTGCTGAGTAACTAGTTAAATGAATATTGTGCCACAAGTTCCTTAAATGCCAATGAGACAATTAAGGGGTTCCTATGGTACAATGCTAAATTTTGACATTAATTCTTCCCAGTTATTTTATATAGCTCTCTCTACAGCATCTTTATCAAGAGCAAATTAAAAATCTCTTTTACTCATGACAAAACGTGAGTTGGTATGAGTACTGAATATGAACCATGCCAGTAAGGTAAATATTTCAGAGAACTAATGTGGTTGAAAAATTCAGTTTGAGACAGAGTTTACTTTATTAAATGCAACTTTATTGTTGCTATTCTTCCTCATTTATTAAACAAATGGAAGAAAATTCAGAACACACTAATGAACAAAATGTATACAAAGTCAACTAGAAGCAATAATCCTATCTGTATACAGCATTAAATCAAATGCACAATATTCTGTTTGTGTGATCTGCTTTAAATTACAATTTAAATTGTAATTTACAATTGGCCTAGAAAGCATATCTTGTACACACACCTTTCCCAAATCCATATCTAGAAGAGTCCTCATGGCAGTCCAATATCTTTATGATGCCGCATAATATGCTGGTTCTTTTCTGAAGGCCTTCGAAAACCCTTCTTGCAGAAGTCACAACGGTGAGGGTAGTCTTTTGTATGAATGGAAATAACATGCCGTTTGAAACCTGAGGCATCTGTAGTGCTATACTCACAGTACTCACACTGATAAACTTTTCTACCACTGTGTGTTTTCATGTGTTTTTTAAGTTCCATTTGCAACTTGAATCCTTTCTTACATCTCTTGCATCTGAACGGAAGATCTTTTGTGTGAACTGAGAGAATATGGCGACTTAAAACAAACGGATCAGCAATCTTAAAGTCACAATGTCTACACTGGTGTAATTTTTTGCCTTTATGCACTGCAACATGTTTTTTCAGTTCTGATGGCCTGTGGAAGCCTTTATCACACATGTCACACTTATGGGGGTAGTCCTTTGTGTGAACAGAAATTATATGTCTCTTTAAATCACTGGAGTTTGAGCTTTTATGGTCACAGTGCAGGCACTGATGTGTTTTGCTTTCCTGATGCATAAGAATGTGCTGTTGCAGCTCTTTGGTATCTGAAAATATTTGAAAACAAATGTCACACTTGAAGGGCATTTCCTTACTGTGTCTAGTCTTTACATGAGTTTTCAGGTTGGACGAATCAGCAGACCTATATTCACAATATTGGCACTGATAAGGCTTTTCTCCAGTGTGGATTCGCATGTGTTTCTTGAGCTCTGATGGATGCCGAAATCCTTTACCACATTCCACGCAAATGTGAGGAAAGTTCTTACTGTGCACAGCCAGAAGGTGACGATTCAGTAATCCTTGCTCTGCTGTTTCATATTCGCAGAATTTGCACTTGTGCATTTTGTTTGCTGCCTTGTCCCTGTGCACCATCTTGTGAGTAAACAAAGCTCCTGCATGAGAGAAACTTTTCCCACATTCATCACATTGAATTAGCTTCTCGGTCTTGGTGGTAAGTTTGTGGCTTTCTAGATGGTTATGCAAGCTTAACTTTTTATTTGTAGTGTAATCACAATCAGTGCATCGATATTTTTTCTTTGCAAGAAGGTGCTCTGGGTGGTTTTTCATGTGCCTTTTCAAGAAACCCCTGGATTTAAACTTCTTTCCACAAATCATACAGGGGTAGACTGTCAGAGGATGACCATCAGGCCCAATTATTATTGCTGCAGAACAAAAGTAAAAACCATATCATGAAACCGTGCTCATTAAACTCAAAGGTAGTCTACAAAAATGGGCACATTCCAACTGATTTTACACACTTCCAAGTCCTATTCATTTCAGTAGAAGAGTTAAGCAGATTCTTAAACCTTTCAAAATGAAATCAATAAACTTAACGTTCTCTCAGTTACTAATAAAGTCCAAACCAATTATCTGTGAAATATTAAGGTCAGTAATTTGTCAGCTTTATGCCCAACAGAACAGAATAAAAATCATCCTAAACAGTCAGGGGAAGACTTTTAGTGCTCCAGTAACTGGAAGCATTATCAAATGCTAATATAGCCTTTAATCAGAAAAACCAAACCTGGAAAAGGGAATATTTTGACATGTCAGTAACTGCAAAGCTTCCAGTTTTTTCAAAGGTGCCTTGTAATAATAGGAATCTTTTCAAAGGTTGAGTAATACTTGTCATGTTTGAGAGTAAATTTCCAGAACAGAGTAAGGTTATTGTAAAATGCTGACATACAGAAACTGAAGACCCTTCTATGCTTTCTTTGTTTTCTTCAAATCTCAAGTGAGCAAACTACTGAAAATGTATCAAAACAAAGATTAAATGTAATAGAAAAGAATGGTTTCAAACAGAGCACTTGAGAAAGGAACTATATTAACTTACTCTGCTATAAAAACAAATATGAGAGGCAAACAAATACTTGCAGAGAACACACAGAGTTTAATTAAATATTTCTATCATTGGGACTACGCCAGCAAAGGACAAAATTGCACTAGCATTCCCCTAGTGCAAACCATGTATCAAGTGCATTATATAACAGCCACTAGCAAACCATGTATCAAGTGCATTATATAACAGCTTGGGCTGCCAAAAAGGCAGGGCTCATGGCTCTGGTACCAACCACACCCATAACATGCCTGTGCTGGCAATTAATAAAACAGATACACAGGATCATTCTATGCATCAGTCAGTACTGGCAGTAAGAGAACAATGTATCTTCAAAAACTTTCCCTTCTCTAGTCTGTTTCTTTGGTACTACTTATCATTTGTCCACAAGAAATGTGACAGAGAAACTGCCACTATGAAACTGCCACAGTCACAGGGCAAAACCACTGGCTAAGATGGCTGTGTGTTTATGAAAATGTATTTTGAGCTACAGCTGCTACCCGACTATGTTGTAAAACATATCTGCTAGACTATCAAAAATGCTCCCACTTAAACGTGTTTGAAATATTTCAGATTCATAGAATAGTAGGGTTGGAAGAGGCCAAGAAGGCCACTGGGTCCAACTCCTTGCTGGTTCTGGACACCAAATCACACTACCGTACTCAGATCTGTCCAGTTTCACCTTGAATGTACAGTATGAACTATAGAAAACTATGGTCTATGTTTCAAGTAGTAGTCCAAGTTGTGTGGCTCTGTACAGAACATGCCCATACACACAAGAAAGGATCTCATCTCTTCCACTATATCTGAGTGGGAATGCCCCTACACCAAAACACTGCAATGCAGAATGTTCCTGTTCAAGGTTCCAAACAAGCAGCTATGTTGTCTTTTGGGATACTTCATTTAATTCTTCCCTGTAGCAGTCAGCCAACATTTAAACATGCTCCATCCTCACTAGATTTTTTTGGAACTTCCCTTCCCCCTCTTAGTTTTTATTTTGAACTGAAGATTTTTTGTCTGCAAAATGTACCTGCTGATATCTCCATCCATTTTGGAGAATGAGTTTGCTCTTAGCATATAGATTTGTGCATAGTGGGTCCGTGCATATTTAACTGCACATTTGTGTGCCAAAAACTGACCTTTCAAGTCCATCATTTTTTCTCCATTAACATTTCTAAATTGAGGACAACCTGTTATTTCATCTAAGCAAATTTTCAAATGTTGCAGAAAAGGGAACCAGTAGATAATATAGCTCAAATAAAAGCCAAACCAAACTGTGAATGCATCTGCATGACAGTTCTTTTTAAAGTGTGTATGGAAACTGTTTCCACTCTCCTTCTCTTGATAAGCAATCATCACAGTCAGTGCAATAGCTGAGTATTTACCTGTTTGGTATTGTCTAGATTCAAGCCTCCTCCTTTTCTTTGGCTTTTGTTTTGCTAGTCTCCCGAGACCAGCAGATTCATCTATGTGCAAGAGAGCGCTTGCAGTTCCATTCCGGTTTTCAACTGCATCAGTGTTATTACCTAGTGAGAATTAAATGTTACATAGCATCAGTACTTAGCACTCTTAGGGGTTATTTAAAAGCTTGGCATGTGCACACACACACACAGAGCGAGAGTACTTGCATAACATTCCATATCTAAACAGATTCCAGAGGGGTGAACAATGAAAAGATGAAAGTCAAAAAAAAAATGCATTAAAAAAGAGTACATCAAAACAATGGCTGGTCAGCAAGAAAGGTTTCTTGGGGCAAAGACATTTTGCTAAAATTATGTTTGAAGAATCAATACTGATAGAAAATGGCTATTCTGTCCTTTTTCTAGCCAGTTTATATATTGAGTGAGGTTAGATTTTCACAAAAATTCAACACTTTGAAGTCTGTTCCACACATCTGCCATTCACATGTAGCTTCTTGCCACTTATTTATTAGATTTATATCCCACCCATTTCTTTAAAAAAAAAAAAACCCTCAAAGCAGCTTACACCATTCTCTTCCAGCTCTCCTCAATCTTACCACAATAACCCTGTGAGGTAGGTTGGGCTGGGAGTCTGTGAGTGGCCTAAAGTCACCCAGCTGGCTCCATGGCTGAGCAGGGACTAGAAACCAGATAGCCTGAATGCCAGTCCCACACTCCTAACCACTACACCACATGGGTTTGTTTGTTTGTTAAAGCTTTGCATCCCAGCCTTCACTTAAAGTGTCAGGATGGTAATACAGTAAAAGCACAGCACCAGCCATCAATTTTTATTTAAACAATATTTTAATAATTGTTGATTTTATTTATTGGTTTTAAATTATTGCCAGGATGTTTCCAGATTTTATATGTATTTGTATAGACATTTATTTATACGTTGGAAGCTGTCCCAAGGCTTATGCGAATGGGACGGCATACAAAAATTCCAAATAAATAAATTAGCAACAGCAAAACTGATCTATAAAACAACAACAGAACTTTAAAATATTGGGAAAATAAAAAGGTTTTGTCCTGGCGCCAAAACGAATAAAGTGTTGGCACCAGGCATATCTCTCTGGGGAGTATGTTCCATTACTGGGGCACCACCACCAAGAAGGTTCTTCTCCAGATAGCTACTCTCCTGATCTCCTTCAAGGAAGGCTCCTGAAGATGGACCTTCAATCCAGATCTATATATATCTTAGGCAGGTTTATATCAAGGAGACACTCATTCAGATATCCAGGGTTCATTTATGGCTTTCAGCACAATACCACAACCCAACAATTCACAGTGGCATGGTGTAAATGCAGATTCATATGGCTAGCAGATACATATAAACAGTCTTCTACCATACAGCAAATTTCATTGAGCAAATTTTAACAGAATTTGAATTTCTAGGAATCACCAAATTGTTACATGCTTTTATAAAATGAGAACAGAAGCCATAATATAGTACCACTGGGAATTGTATGTGACAACAACCATATATCCAGGGTTGACTTTTCCACCTCTTTGCCAGCCTGCTGTGACGGTCAACCATATGGTAAAAATGCCCTTTTTTACAATAGTCACATACATTTCCTTAGAAACATAAGAAAAGTCAAACTGGATCAAGTCAATTGCACTGTTCGCACCATGGCCAACCAGATACCAATGGGAAGTCCACAATCAAAATAGGAGAGCAATAGCACCTTCCTGCCCATGATTCTTCATGAATGGTATTAAGAGACATATTGTCTGTGGTACAGGAGGTAGTATCTAGCCATCGTTACTAGCCACAATTCATAAGTATCCATAATTTTTCTACTCTTCTTTTAAAACTAAAAAAGCTGGTGGCCATTACTCTATCCATAGTTTAATTATATGCTATGTGAAGAAATACCACTCCCTTATAGAATGAGACCTCATCATGTCTGGGTGTGTTTGTGTTAAAGGAACTCAAGGAAGAGGTTCTGAACAAAATATTAAAGAGGTGTACTTAAAGTATCACTATTTCATATGTTATCATAGTTTCTTCACTATTCTGGCTCATCTACATTTCAGAATTTATACTAGCAAAATATTTCTCTTTAAATTCACATTATATTTTTATAGAGAAGAATAGTCTAGAAGGAAAGGAATTAACAAGATTCCGCAGATGCTTTTTTGCTTTCTCCCTCCCATTTTCAGTTCTACAATTTAGACTGCTTATGACGTATTTTGGTAACCACTGCAATTTTCTCTTTATTTCTGCCTAATTTCAAACAATAAAAGTAAGACTTTTCACATAATAGGATACCAATGACAGCTACATATTCCTGTACATAAATTATGGTGCAAAATTTGGAGCAGCAGCCAAGAAAGACTGCATTAGTTTCCCTAAATAAGACTAGATACTAATATCCTGCCTATGTAATTTTCAATCAGTAATATGTACTTTCACCAAACCTCATTCAACATTATAAAGGAATCCTACTAAAACAGAAAAAGGGGTTCCCTCATTACTCCAAACAAGATTATGTTTCACAGATGCCAATGCTGTTGATCTTCAGAACCCATAATCGCAGCAACATGTCATGTTTTATGACTGCTTTTATGTAACTAATGTTATGCCACCAGCTCCAATCTTACTGCAGTTTTTCATTTATGACCTACCATAAGCTGCTGCCCAAGCTATAGGCATAAAGCTTTTGATTTCATTGTCATCAATTTGTTGCTCATGAGCAGCTGCTGCATCTTCTTCTCCTACGATCACTTCCATATACACCTCATCAGCAATTTCTGCAACATCTAAGAGAAGAAACAATGAGTAATACAAATTTTATATTATTTTAAACAAATCCCAACCCCTAAGTAAAAGCCACATACTTACTTAAATCTTCATCTTCATGCTGTGAATCATTTACTGTCATATAAACCATTTTTTCCCTTGGAATGCGAACACTGCTGTTTTGATTAATTAATGTGTCTCCATGGTCATTTTCAGATTCACTTTCTACAATGTCTACTGTGCCTCCTAAGTAAAAAGAATTAGCAAATGTCTTCTGTAAGAGTATGTTTCTATTAAATGATGGTTTCAATAGAAAACATAGAAAAATAATTTACCCAGATTAATTAGATGACTTGAAGGAAGCCTGAGTGAGAAGCAGGTCAGAAAATTGGGGATAATATATAAGCCCTACAGCATAATCTTCTGCAGTTTTACTGAGAAGTAAATTCCACTGAATTCAATTGGAAAATGTGTATAGGACTGCAGTTCAAGACTCAGAGTCAACAATTAGTTAACCTGAAGTGACAGTCTGAGAAAAGTGAGGGGTACTAAGAATCTCAAGTTATCCACTTTAAAATTACCTGCCAGTAGTTATGTTGGCACAAATGCCACATCTTCCATAACTTCTTTTCTTTCTAGTTTGGTCATTAGGAGGAGGAATAGTATCAAGGCTGTAGCATAAAGCTAGTGATCTTCCAGTAATAACCCCTAGCTTAAGACATACTTTTCTTGTTTTGAATGTCTTACCTATATCATCTTCACCAGGATCAGCTTTGAAAATATAGACTTTGATAACTTCTGGGCAAATGCCATCCATTTTACAGGGATCACCTTCTGACTCAGATTTAGTATCAACAGAATTGTCTGTTTCTGCCTTGACAGGTTCATCCACTATAGAGAAAAAACAATTGAACAATTAATCCAAAATAGATTGCAGTAAAACAGCATTTTATCATTGAAATCTTAAGAGGTATAGAAAATTACAGTTAAATTATCCAAACACCATTGTGATATAAATCATTATATAATGAATCATTCTAGTTACATAAAAATTAGGAAGAATTTGTTCAGGAGCATCAAGAAAGAAGATAAATATAGTTCTGTATGCTTTTCTACATTACTTTAATGAAATAAAATATTCCTCATATTTATCTTCACCAAACTGGATGATGAAATAGAACAGCCATACTGAAAAGAAATGTTCCTTTGCAGTTTATTTCTGATCACTAGTGTAGAGATTTTGCACTAAACAGAAGCACTAACATAATCAGAAATGCTGTAAGCAATATGTATGCATGATCCAAGAAAGGTCAGAAATTATCCCAGTAACATACATGTACAAAAATTATCTCTCAGCTCAGCCACCATTCTGAGCAGTCCAAGTTGGTGACTATTATGTGCAATGCCAAACCTGGCTGAAAGGGCATGCTCAATTTCAGATGCAAGAGTGGGTGGCTCAATGATCCTGTCGCCTAAATCTAACTGTATATGCCCACTACAGATTTCTTATTAGTGATCCATTAAGGGACCACGCTAAGAAATTTCTATTTAGCTGAGAGGACAGAGTTAAGGTGTTCTCTTAATATGAATACGTATAAACTCCCTAGAAAGGGAACAGAAGCTTTTTGGCCAAATATAAACATCTGTGTGAGAGGTCCATCTATTGAGACTTAAGCACCTGTTTACCCTCCAAAAACTGGAGAAGAGTAAGCGTAAAGCCAATTGTTCTAATCCAGAAATAGTGTTCTACACATTAAAATAAGTTTGTCCTTCCAGTTTTGTCACCATCCAGCACCAAAAGGAAGCTGAAGGTTGAGTTATAGACTGGTTAGAGCTCAGCTTTCACAAAGATATCAACTCACTACAATATAATTCATCCATAACAATATTGAGGAAAATGGGGCATTACTAATAGCAAACTTAGGCTTTTTTTAACAAGTAAATCATGCCAGACCAAAAGACAGAGGAAAGGTTGAAGGGACTCAGCTCAATCCTGTCTTGAGGTGTACCTAGGCAGCAGTACACCTGTGCTTGTGCCATAACTGTTGAAGCAGTATTCTATACGAAGCTCATACAGCTTGCTTCATCAATAACTTGCATCATCAATCCCCATTCCACCTCACTACATCTGCATTTTTGCCATATTATTTTCCACTTGGACTGAGAATGGGTTGGTGCCAGTATTAGCTTGAGAGTCACTGTCCCAACCTAAGTGCACTCCTCCCAGTGTTTATCACATATTATAGGAATACACTGCATTTAAACTGGCACTACTATCAGCAAAATAAATAATTTATTGCATGTTGCATTTAAATAGATACATGGGTTGTGAAAGTAGTAGATACTTGAATTCAAAAGTACAATTTCAATTTTCTTTCTAAGTAGTAATAGGCTAGACTAGATTACACAAAATTAGGCATTAGCCTTACAAACTGGCAGAGCTTGTTTGGGAAGCTTAAAGCAATATATGAAGTAATAGAAAAAGTTTCACTTAGCATAAATTCCGAGTATGGGCATTCACATCAAATTACAGAGGGTGTGGATTTATATTGTGTTATACGCGAAGAACAAGTATATCTTTCTAAAGTAGAACAAGAATTCAAAACATATTGATAAATAATATGAATCTAGTAGACAGTGAAATTACTAGGTGAAAATAGCTGCATATCATCAGACCTCACCCTACAGACACATGCAGTTATATTAGTGTACCATGCAGGATGTGCTAATGTAGCCAAGGCAAAATCCTGTGCCTGCTACACAGAAAAGCCTGTCAGTCATGTGCTGCTAGTGAGCCACATTCATGTTAGAACAAATTATTCCTATATTTTCAGTGCATGGTGGTACAGTGACATGAGGCTCTTAAATGTGTTGACAATGATGCAAGAATTTTCCAGCATGCTGCATTAATTCCTGCTGCATACCTTCTTTGCCTAGTTCTATGGTTTTCAAAATCTTGACTGTTAACTGTTATATATTATCTGAATGCTGTTTCCAACCCGGGAGTGCTAATGCATAGTGTTGCCATGTTGAAACAATCCCTGAATCCCCCTTAAACCCCTATCTGGTGGCATAGCAAGTTGCATCTTTGTGACATCAGAATGAGAATTTAACCACAACCCTCTCTGTGTTTGTTGTTTATCAGTGGTACTGTTTATTTTATTTGTAATGCAGTTACATTAATATATTAGGCACAATTATAATATTATGAACACTTAATGTTCAGTCCTAAGGAAATAGTTGCTTTTTCCCACTCACCCTGCCACCCCACTCTCTGGTTTTGATTGCACAACACATGGTTATCATGGTTCACTGGGTTTTTTTAATTATACAACAGACAACCAAGAGGTTTCTACGTTATCATGGTTTCCATCCTCCCTGCTCCATCCTCCTGTGGTTGGCACATATCCTACCAGTCACTGTGCCTGCAATTCAACCCCTAGGTGCATCACTCCCTGCCTATGTTGCCTGCCTCATAGAGTGGCTGGATAGCTGAAGTGGCTTCTGTAGCTGCCACTCTTACCAGAGAACTCTGTGGTAATTGCAAACCAGGATTGTGGAAACTAAAATCTTGGGTTCAGGCAACATGATACACTAAAGTGATATATAAAAACTACAGAAACCATTTTTTCTTATAGTAAATTCTAAAGACCCATTTTACTGTGGTGAAATTCCATGTCTGGGTTCAAAAGCATGACAGACCAAACAATGGTAAAAAACCACTGGTGTTTGTTGTGTTGTCTAAACCCAACTTCTCTCACCTGGGAAGCCATACTGCTTTAAGCATTTCACACTTTTGCCAGAAAAAGAAAAAAAAAATACTTCCAACTGTGATAACAAATAGCTGTTTCCCCAATACACCTGTTGTATTCTTGATACCTTCCCTCTCTCTACTAGCAAATACTAAAGGTAGTACAGCTGCATTTAGATTAAATTTGTACCAAGAGTCTAAGGGACTACAAGAGAAGCAATTAAGTACACTGATTATGGAGTAGTTTTTAAAATACTTTACCCAGACACTTACAGGAAATCATAAGGTAGTCTTGACAGTTGCCCTTGTTATCATCATGTTCCACAGGTATTCCACTGGCATCAATTACCGCTTCAGAGGCACAATCTGCTACCAACACTTCTGAAACTACATCCTCTCCCAGAGAACCAGTCACAATTTCTGCTTCTACAACATTATTATGATCATGAACTACATGTTCCATATGTCCAACGTCAGGTACTTGCATTGACTCATTTGTGAGTACATGTTCAGGCATTGACATTTCTGAAGTTGGGATCTCAGAGGATAAAACATCTTCTGGAACAGTGCAGTGTGCTAACGACACTTCTTCTGTGACATCAGTGTCCAGCACTGGTTCAGGTATAATAACAGTCTGAGATATGTCTGCATCATCCATGATATCTGAACACTGAACATCTTCTATAACAACATCCTCAATGACATCTTGAATTACTACAGAATCAGGATCATCAGGAACAAAGTTATGAACAGTTATATCAGGATCCTCCACATCTGATATATATACAGTTTCCTGTATTTCAACGACAATTTCATTTCCATTCAAATGTGTTCCATCAGCTCCTGAAATACGTAAAAATAATCCAAAGTACTATACCAGTATAGTTGCAAGTTTCATGAAAATCACCAAGTCTTACTTACTGTTATATCCAATGGTATCCATCCACCAGCGGAATGGACACTGCTTGTGAAGATTGCCCTTCCTCCCTGCAGCCCTCCACACCTCTCCCCCAAAATCTGCTCTAGAGGGTTGGGCGAATCCTCTGGAACATATCTCAAGGGCACATGGGAGGCTGCAGAAGAAAGGAAGGGAAGGGAAAGTTTTGCTGTGCAAGAGGAAATCCACTGGCATAATGCTGGATGTAGCTCTATGAATGTAGGGATGAACCTAACTTGAGAATTTGGGAGAAAATTAAAAAAAACTGGGTGCCTTTCCATGTACCAGATGCAAGTTCTTCAATTTTGTTATACATTCCGTACTGTTACAAGGTGAAAAAGGATTTGAAGGTCCTAGAACTGTAGAAAGTGTCAGACGGGTCAGGTTTTGTGGAGAGGTAAGTGGACAGGGAAAAGGACAAGAAGGAAAATGGAGAGGGAAAATGTTGTGAGAATGTGCACTGAGGATAGCATCCGCATTTGGCATCTAAAGAAGATGAACATCACTTTGTAGCTTACCTGAACTCTGAGAAGTATTAAACAACATTAATATAGAAATGTGAAAACATTGTATAGTGCTTTCTCAGTGGTGGCTGCTTTTCCTTTTTTTTAGCAGCAAGGTACTTCTCAAAACACAATGTTAATTCTAAACAGATTGTATTTAGATTGTCTGGAGGAAAAAGAGGGACTAATAGACCACCCTGATGTCATTCAATGAAGACCAAATTAGGTTATAAACTTTCTACATGCATTTAGAGATAACAATTTCAGATTGTTATTTCCTGGCATACCTGTAGGATCAAAAAATTCATGTGGATCATGTGGCTGTAGCTCAAGTCCATCGTCATCCATGGCCTTTATATCTCATCAGTCACAATGTCTAGAAATTAAAACAAAGAAGCTTTCAACTAGTGTCCTGTGTCCTTCTGTGTCATACATATTGAATTTTCAGTAGATTATGATGGTTCAATTTCTCATGTTGCCGAGGACAGTTACTCAGAACTTTTTTTGTCTACTTTTTCTGCAAAGCAGCCACTGCTAGTCACAGGATGGGACAGCAGATATGTTCAAATCCCCTCACCATTTAATTATATAGTAGGACCCTTGTATCTGCTGGTTCAGTTACCACATTTTCAGTTAACCTCAGTCCAAAGGAGAGGTCATAAAGTGCTGTAAAGTGCCAAAGAGAAGTTTAAAGTGCTTCCTTTAAGTAAAAATTATCGATTTTACAGGGAAAGTGAAAAAAAAGTACACTGAGGTTGTTATGATGTATGGTAAGAAAGAGTCTTCTATTTATGAAACTGTGAAAAAAGAAATGTATATGTACACTATATAGTGTTCACTACTATCTGTGGTTTCAGGCATCTGCTGGGGGCTTGGAACCTATCCCCCATGGAAATGGGTCCTGCTATATAGTCAGTTAGAGCAGCTGTACCAGGTTTTTGCCTCAGAACAGCAGCATCTCTCTCTACAGTATGTTTAAAAAAAAAGGTTACACTGTTCATAAACCATAAGTTACATGCTCAATCAAACTCTGATCTTTCCATAATGAAAATTCAAATACACATCAGCAAAAACTGTAAGGAATAAACATTAATTGAATTTTTACTAATTTCTTATCCTAGCCATGATATACTGAACAACTTTATAGTATACATTTAAATAACCTGCAGATAAAGGTTGTAGATAGTTGAACAGTGTTGGATTTGTTCTGATGCTACTGTTGAATCCAGAATATGAAAAAATGTATTACAACAGTATTTAATGAACATTTCCACGAATAATTCTCTGCTTTCACTCACCTCACAAGAGGTGAAGAGGAAGAATGTGTTCGTCTTTGTGTTTTTGTGAATATATGTGCTAAGATATTCCACAAAACAACTTCCATAACCTCTTCTTCCTGATTGTGTCATATGCTCTTCCAACATATCCTACACATGCTGAAGTTCCACTAAATTAAATGAAACTTACTCCCAAGTTAAATGGCTATGTAAATACAATTTTAACAGGAGATTTTCTCCCCTCTCAAAAGCAAGTTGTAAAATGTTGGTACTCTTATGCCCAAAGCTGTTACCTATACCTTTAGCTTTTAAAATGTTTGTATGCAGACTTCATTTCATTGTTTCAGGCAAGTCATCATTTGATTTTCACTGTGTTCTCTCTCTTACAGGAATCCAACCTGTTTACTTTACACATTAGGCAAGAAACAAAAAACCCAGAGGGAGCCCACACTTAGCTACACATTGAAGGGCTTACTGCCTAGCATCCTAACCTGCAAATGATGCTCTCATGGGTTCCTCTTTATGATTAACCAGAGAAAGTTGTTGTTCTTTTGTCGTGTGCTTTGTGTCAAGACTGTAAAAATGCATTGTCAGCTGATGAGTTTTTGAGTTCAATTTCTTAGCGGTGTGCACTATCTATCTCAGGAAGGGGTTAAAGCCCCCCAAGCATGACATCCAGCTCTTAATGAAATCAATTGGTCCAGACCATTCTTTCCCCCGGCATCTCTAGTTAAATAGACATACATCTGTTCACTGGAATGAAGTGTTTTTAAGCGTTTCCAGGAAGAGCCGTTTGGACAAAAACAGGCACATGGCGATGCAAGTACACACCGCGTGTGCGCACGTATGTGTAGTAGCGGCAGGTGGGCGTGGGGTGGGGGGATTTGTGTGCGTTGCTTGTGCCCTGAAGAGACGGGACATCGTGTAGCTGCTCAGGACCGGAAGGCAGGGAAATAGCCAGAAAGCGCCTCTCAGCCCGCCTCACGCTACAGCGGGGTGAGGGGGGGAGGCTGCAGGACTGCAGCATAGCAGCCCAAAGCAGCTGAGCAGGACAACTGGGCACAACGCTGGGGATGGGAGGGGCGAGCCTCCCCCACTGGCGCCGTCCCCGCCCTGCTCTGCCCGTAATGGGGACTGTCTGGGGCCAGAAGCGATTAATTCAAGATGGCGGCCAGCACTCTCCCCCCAGCCTGCCCTGCCGCCGCCATCTTGTCTCCTCCTCCCAGACACTCTCCCTCCGACACGGGCCTGGCCCCGCTGCCCCCCAAAACCAGGCCTCATTCTTACTCCCGCTGCACCGCACAAGAGCCCGCCACCTGCCCCCTTTCTGGAACCTGCGTTCCAACGGCTCAGAGCCCCATGAGCCCCGTCTTGCGGCCCATTCCAGCAAGAAGCAGTCCTGGCGCGGCCTAGCTGCGGCCTTCTTGGGGCCTGCACCACAGCGGGCGCCAAGGCCTGGTTCCGCACGGGGGTGAGGGCCTAGCTCGGGCCTGTCCCGTGCTGCTTACCGGGCGGGGGGGCGGCGGCTCGGGGCGGCCTTTCTCTGCGTAGCTGGGCCGATCTCGGTGGTAGTGTTGCTGCGCCGGGGCGGGCGGGAGCGGAGGGGAGGGAGGGGCCGAGCTCGGAGCTGAGTGGAAGCGGCCAAGCTCCCCGGGCCGGGCAGCCGTCAGCACGTCACGTCACTTGCCCGAGAGAAACCAGGGAAATGCGGAAGGGGGATGCCGGCACTCTTGCTGCTTGAGCCGCCTGCTCCTCGGCGCCGCGCCGGGCCGGGCGGGTCGGGCCGGGCCGGGCCGGGCCGGGCCGGGCGGAGGAGAAGGAACCGGGCCGGGGACAGGATGAAGTGGAAGAGCAGTGGGTCTGTGCCAGCCCCTCCCGCTGCAGCTGCCGCTCCTGCCGCCGCCTCCGTTCCAGCTCGGCCGTAAAATTCCGCTCCGGGCTCAGACTTGCTCAACTCGGTGCCGCGGAGCGGAGAATTATTTAGGCCTGGAAAATCCCCAACGTTTTGGGGTGGCTTTTCCACAGGCACTGCCCGGGGCACCCCCGCCTCCCGATTTTCAATACAGTCCCCTCGATCGTGGAATTTAAATCTGCCCAATGCCTTTTTGAAAGTGAAAATAAGAGGTACCCTATTATGACATTTTTGAATTAAAATATTCCTTTTCGTGGTTTCCCCCCCCTCGCTCCCCATTGTAACAGTATGTATGCTTGGCCTAGTGTGGAAGCACCCCCTCCATCGGCTTCAGTAAAGAAGACTGAAGTACGCTGTAAATATGGAATATTTAACACTCCCAATACTGAATGCATGTACAGTTATGAATGTTATAGAGATATTTATGTTTTAGTATGATGCTGTAAGATGGTATACAAATTTTGTAATAATGACAAGTACTCTCCTTTGAAAAGAAAGTACTTCCTTCACACTGTAATTTATAAAATTTGCTACCACCAGATGTGGTGATGACTAGGATTGTAGTTGTCTTCGAATGGCAATTAAATTTGTGCAGGGATATTACCGATAATGGCTGCTTGGAATCTTCCAAGTTCAGAGCTGATGAAGGGCTTGATTTCATATTTGCTGTGGACTTTTGAGAAGCATCTTGGATGGCTTTTATTCCAAACAATTTAGACCTTTTGGGCTGATCAGACGCCTACTCTTAAATTCTTTTGACACCACAATAAACCTAAGTGCTGTGTGATAACCATTAAACAAAACTGCTTTTATATTCTGTCTTTCAAAAACAAAATTTAGGAGTGCTTGCTGTAACTTCTTAAGTCCTACAGATCTTGGAAACAGGTTCTTTTAATTATCTTTGTTGAGAATCTGCCCAGTTGAACTTCTCAGAGGTCCTCCTTTTGGTCTCCCTGCCCAGAGATGACATGGAGTAACCCAGTATAGGGTTTTATCCCAGCATTTGATTCATAAATTATTCCAAACTATTGTCTGATGCTGGCAGTGTTGTCTTCAGTGCCAGGTGAGCACATTCCATTTGCCCAGTTTCATGACAATGTGTGTTGCATATGATACTGATTTGGCATTTTTAATCTCAGCAGCTACTGTTTTATATTTTGTATTTTTTGTGATTTTATGTTTGCAATTTTAACCAAAGGGGTTCATACCTGAAAAGTGGTATAGAAATCTATTAAATTAAATGGATTTATTATGTGTGGCAATACATTCTGTTACAGAGACGATTCAAACATTCAAAGGCATACATGCAAAGTTATTACTGCCAACAGTAACATGTGATAGGATTGCCAGCAGCTAGATGGTATTACCTCAAACATGTTTTTGTGCTGTAGGCCACCAGTCGCCATGCTTGGTTAAGAGCATATGCCTTGTGTAAGTGGAAGATACATCTCTAGCCTATTACTGAATTTAACAGGTTGTGTACAGGCATGATACTAACACAGTCCCATAGACTTCATTATGGTGGTAAGAAAACTTGAAGAAACAAATATCAGTGTAGTTTTAATAGGGAAGTCCTGCACATGCTGGATTGCACACTGTCTAAGGATGCACAACAAGATTGTCTTGTGGGAGTCAGCCATAGCGCCTTGTTCATATGAGTAGCTTGTTACAGTTAAACTTCAAGAACAGGATGCAGTGGCTGACATTGTTAGGTGCATAGGGAGCAAGGCTTTTGGTTCAATAAGGTAAGCAGTACATTGGAATAATCCCTACTCCATAAAGAGACAACTTTAATCTGGACCGAAATGGGCACACTCTCACACACGCACTGCATTTGAATTGTAGTACTTTTAGCTCCTATGTGACTTGTATATATTATTTGATTGGTACTAGAATGTATTACTAATGCATTTGTTTTGTAGATGTTAACTACAGGTCCTAAGGAGGAACGGTTTTATTTGGTACCTGACAAGTGGAAATTTAACAATATTTTCAAGGTATGGAGATGGTGATAGGAAATATGCCCTGTTAAATTTCTGCCTTTCAAACAGTAGCTGAAGCCAGAAAGGGCTGCTTACCTTATCTTCCTGTCAAATAAATTTTGGCAGATTTCTAGCCATTTTGGTTGCAAAGAATACAGTAAGTGAAAATATATTGCATCAGATTAACCAGTTAGTATAAGTCAAAGACAAAAAATTTGCTAGCCTTAAAATATTCTGAAAACCTAAAGTATCTTTTGTTTGCCCTGGACTAACGATCACCTTAGCTAGTTTCACTGCTTGGAGAGGTCAGAGGACACTAGTTAAGGGAGGCTTTACTAGAAGGTGAAATTGTTTTGGGGTATGCTACTAACAATTTCATTAGATGCTATTCAAAAATAATAGCACACATGAGGATTATATAGCAGTGAGAACACTCGCAGGGTCTAAATGTGAACCCACTACACAAAAATACAGAAAATAAACTTAATCTTATATACGTGACCAAAAAACACTGCTTTTGTGTAGACATACTGCCTATTATGTAGGTGAGTGTACATACACACACATGGTGCAAGGTGCACATTTAATTAAAGCATTTTAAAACATTTCAGTTCTTAATGATACCAGAACAGGGTGTGACTAAAACTAATCATATCAAGAAAAAAGCAAAACCTAAATATTTTAGTGGCAACTTAAAGAGCAGAGCAGACCAACCATATAACAAACCTTTAAAATCCTGAGCAAATAACATTTTATCCTGGCACTGGAAGGATTGTACTATTGGCACCATATTTCTATGGGAAGAGTTTTCCATTAACTGCTTACCACTTGCTAGTTTCCCTGGGTGAGTTCACATATAACAAGTCAGCTGGAAACTACATAGGTGTGGCTTGCTGCTATATGTGAACCCAGCATGATATATTTGGTTTTCATGAACCCACATAGAGAACCAATGGGTTTTTAAGGTGTCCACACCTCATCTTTGCTTGATTTTATGTATGAATATAGTTGCCATGTTTGTGTGGCTTTTGCCATAGACTTTGGCAGCAAGAGTGGCCATAGCTGCAGCAACTTCTGTACTCATCGCTCTCCAAAATTTTCTCTGCTGAGTTGCCAGCGGCAGTGCAGTGATTGACTGCACCCTTTCTGCAGTGGTAGTGTATGACATTCCAGTGTCCTGCCATGGTGATGGGAACTTGCTGGCAGCAGGGCATAGAACTGTGCTGCCTCCAGCAGCAGTGACTGCAAAAAGACAGCCATGCTTGGCACTCCAGCCTGGTCACTTGTGCTTTGCAGGAGCAGTGCTCTGAAGTGGCACTGTGTTTGTACCATTCCCAGAGCCAGTGGTCTCATGTGGAGACTGTCCTGCATTCAAGGAGCACATGGGCAGTTTGTGGGAGTTTGCCAACAGTGTGAGAATCCCAAGGAACCTGTGTCTCCCACCCTCTGCCCCCACAATCTCTGGGTCTTTCCATAAGCCACAGTGCCCCACCCCCACATACTTGTGGGACTAACCCTGTCCTGACAACCTACCAACATTTCCCCAAACTGATGCCCAGTAGGCACCCTCAATAAAGTCTGCCGAACAAGGTGTGTTCCCTCTATCTCTGGCACAGATGCCTGATTTGATACCCTCTGTGCATCTGGTTGTGGCAGGGAGGGGATAAGCTGCTGGCACCTTGCACAAATCCTGTATCATGTGTAGACATGTACAGGGGAAGAGATGTGTGCATGCTTGTACACTGACGTGGCATGTGGCAGGAGTGGGGAGCACACCTACAGTGCTACTCTGGAGCAACTGTGCTACTCTAGCAAGTTGCTTTGCTGAGCAGCTAAAAAAGAAACCCACCTAGGAGCAGCAGGCTGCTGCCTTGCCTAGAGAAGCATGTAAACCATTGAGTGAAAGGCAAGTGAGGCAGAAGTGGTTCACCCTGGGATTAATTCTGAGCCACAGATGTATATGGGATACTAGCTGCCATTCAGAGGAAGATGGAGATGCATGTCTGAACCCAGGATTGAAGGTGACATCACATGCCATAAGTATCTCACGACCTCGCTTAATGTCATGTGAACACAGCCATTATGTTATGCAATATAGACGTTTAAAAGGATGAAAATGGCACCACCACAGAAAACTCTCCCTTTTTGTTGCTTGCTTGTTTACTTTCCATGGTGAGGGAACACTAAGAGCCCCAGCTAAAGATCTTAATGCATGGACAGGTTGGCATTTGGACTCCAGGCCATTTAAGATTTTAAAAGGTAAGCAAAAAGGTTTGAATTAGCCCCAGAAACAGCTTGTGTGATTCCACTTGGTCACACAAGTTAGAATCTGGGTAGCTGTGCTTTGCATTATTTAAAACATCCAAACATTTTTCAAGAGCAGTCTCAGTAGTTAAGGTTGTTATTGCAGTGTGGGTTCCTTGGAGACAAAAGGAAACAGTGCTTCAGATCATTTTACTCACAAAAAAGGATTTTGATAATCCAGTATCATACCTGCTCCATAAGCTTCTCATACTGCCCAAGACTATGACATATGGTACCAATTTAAACAGGAACTGGTACATTTCAAACGTCAATGAAGGGAGTGTAAGTTTCTCTGAATTGCCTACAGTAATGTTAAAATGCTAACCAAGTAATTCAAAAGCTGTAAGTATCTTTCCTGTCTTCCTAGCAATGTTTCTATGGAAATACAGTTCTACTCATGTCTACTCAGAAGTAACCTCCACTTAATTCAGTGGAAGTTACTCCCTAATTAAACCTTTGAAAGTAATATGAGGTCATCTATTCCTAAAGATTATCATTTACATTACACTTATATCTTGCTTTTGTCATTTTGTGAGAAACCCAAGGCAGCTTACATAGCTCCATTTTATCGTCACACTAGTCACACTATGAGGTATGTAAGGTTGAGAGTGAATGATTGGCCCAAAGCCATCTAAAGAGCTTCATGGCTGAGTGGAGACTAGACTCTTTAGACTCTAGGTCCACAAGTCTGCTACTTCTAACCAGCAAACCAGCTCTCGTATATCACAATTAAAAATCTCATTATTTCCTGTTTGCTTTTTGGCAAGAACTTTTAATTCCCATGTATACCTCAGCTGCCTTTCAAATTATGCAGATATCCCACATTTAGTGAAGTTTTTTCTCTGAAATGGAAATGTCTAGCTAATGTATTATAATCAAGGGCAGGAATTGTAGGCCTTTTTTCTATCTAAGGGTGTATCATGCTAAATGAATTAAAGTGGAACTCTAAGGGATGGAGTGCTGCTGCTGCTTCCCTTCTCAAATTGTCCTATCTTCCTTTACCTTTCCTGAACAGAGAAAGGTGTCAAAATGCCCTGCACACAGGACATGCATAGTTCTTTCCCATAATAGTTCTTTCCTATAATAAACATTCCAAATCCTGGAGGTATTTCTTCCTTTAAACAGGGATCAGTTAGAATGTATTTGTCCTGTCATCTGTCTTCCTCTTATTCCTGTTGTCCACACAGGTTCTGATCACAGAGCATCCATTCTTTCAAGGAATTTTTTGCCTCTTAACACTTGCTTTACAATATAGAACCAGATTGTTGAGTTATATAATTTTTATACATGTTTTAAGTTCTATCCATACCAACATTTCCTAGGTGAACTCAGTATTTACAAGCTCTCTCAGCTGGGATGAATCATGGAAGATTGATGTTTAAAAGTATCCTGTAAATGGGTTACAATTTCACTTCCAAGTGAAATGCATATAGATCACATTTACCTATTCATTGGATCTAAAAAAAACGTGTAGGATTAGTATTTTGTCTCTGATTTTTAAAGAACCACCATTTTTTGTAGTTTGACCATTATAGCATTTTACAGTACATCCGGAGTTTCATGATACCTTCCCCACTCCCAAGTATGTTATATCCCTTCCATAATTTAGGAACATTTTTTGTAAAGCAAGGAAGATCAGTGACTATTATCAATCTAATTTTGAATATAATTAAAGTATAGTGATTTGAAAAATGGAAATGTTTGTTAGAAAGCTGAAGGCTACACAAAACAAGGTATAGGGCAAGAATGGGAACTGGTCTTCAAAGGAGTTTATTTTCTTTTTGAAGTTCTTTCATTGACAATTGTTTCAGCTGTTTGCTACTCAAGGACTTTCAAGAATTAAATGAAAAAATAAGCATTTTTTAAATTTCAAAACAGATTATGGGATATTGAGTCATATTGTTTAAAATTAGATAATCCAGCCCCAAGTAGAGTCTTAGACAAACTGACAAACAGGATACAAATTTAGTTTTGCTAAAATTGTGGGTTTAGTACCCACCTTTTGCCAATTTGTATTTATGTTTATTGCAGACACAGACTAGAGTTTTAGTAAGAGGTTTGATTTCTGATATTTCATGGATATTGTCTGCAACAAAGTGAATGTAAACACATTTAACCTTTTACAAAGTAAAGCACTAATTTCTGCTCTTCAGTCATCATCCACTGTAGGTTTGATTGTCACTCCTCTTCTAATCTGTCCCCAGCCAATTAAACTGCAAAACAGGAAAAAACAAATTTCAAATAATTAAAAGCTGCATTTAAAAGTACTAGAATAAAATAGTACATAGTAGAAAGTTAATTTATAGCTTGGTTTCTTTACAAATAATGAATGATACTAGAAGTTTGGTATATGAAATCCCAGTATTATTCTACATTACAATATTTGAGGCTTCCCTACATCTTGCCATTCCTATTACTATTTCTACTAATAGCAGATTTTAGCAAGTGTTGGTCTTTAGGTAGCCAAAACAGACCATATATGCAAAAGGAGGAAACTGTCAAGAAGTTTTGAGAAAACAAAGGTATGCGAAAGTATAAAAATATTTAGAACTCAGTTCAGAAATCTCCAAAAGAACCCAATAAGAACTGAGTAGGCTCAGTTACAAAATAATCTGAGACAGCTGGGAGGGTAGAAGAAGTGGAAAACTATTTGAATGTGGATATATAATACAGTCTTCTAGAATAGAGTGCACCCTCTACACTGCAATATTGTGTTGCAGGTTCCGCTTGTGATGCCTAATACTGTTCTTGGAAACTTAGGAAGGACAGCAGTGAGAATAGAGAAAAATGCTCATGGAAAATGCTCATGGAAATTATAAGTTATTTCTATAACTTGTGCTTTCCTTCACACAGAATACAGGGAATTATCTGATATTTTCTTTCACTGTTCAGACTGTTTCTAAGAAGCTGACTGACTTTCCAGGTTTCAGTCTTCAAAATCTACAGGAAGAAATAGTTGTCCTTGATGTATACATTCTGCTGAGGTTGGTTTTACTGCTCAGCTTGTAGTAAGCAAGCTGATATCTAAGTGCCTCTTCCCACCCTGTAGACTAGGATTTACTCTAAAAACTTAATTTCATGTTCCCTGCCATAGACTTGCATTTTAAGCAAATCAAAAGCATAGTAAGAGAACATACAGTGCAAGTTATCCATCATGTTGATTTGACATTTCAAACCAACTTACCGCCAATGTTTTTCAACTCTTCGACTAAGAGCAATTTTTTCTCCAACTTCAGTGCACACAGGATTCGTTAGCACTATTTTGCCCAGATCAGCTTTCACAGCACTGACCCGTCCCCCAGTAGATAGTGATCCTATGTTTACCATTAGAACTTCATTTTTGGATAGTTTTTGCACCTGAAATAAATAGCAAAGAAGCTCAAAGTTAGATTCAACTTTTATCACTGGAGGTACAGAAGCATCATCTTCAAATGCCAATGATAAAAAGAAGTGTAATTTTCCCCACCAACTGTACATGGAAAGTGCCTAACCTTTGCAGCTTTCTTGTCTCCTTCAGTGCGGACACCTAGTAGTCGCCTCAACAAGAAGTAGGAAATTTCAAGTTCTGTGAATATTTCAGGAAGTGCCCCAACTGCACCAAGAACCTGACCCACCATTCGATCAGCACGGCACAAAGTTGGATCAATCTTGGTACCGACGCCTAACAAGAAAATGCTTCTCAGTAAATTTAAAACATGCAACACATTTCCATGCATCAGATTACATAAATTAGTGCTATTAAGACAGAATCGATCTCAATCAACAAACAGGAGATTGCTGTGTAACATTTTTATGCAGATACTATAAATTAATCCATTGGTAACCTATTATTTATATATGTGTTCTTTCATTTGTTACATTTGTATACTGCCCCATAGCCTATCGGACATATAAGAACATATAACAAAAATAAAAGTGCTACAAACAATACATTCAACTAAAACCAAATAAAACACCTTGACAACTCCTGGTGATTAAATTGATACATGGCATAAAATAGTGCACATAAAAGCAATATTCAAGTCAATCTATTAAACATCTGGTGAATAAAATGGTCTTCATCTGGCACTGGAAGGAAAACAGTGACTACCAGGTTCACCTCCTTGAGGAGAATGCTCCAGAGGTGGGGTGCAGCCACAGAGAAGGCCCTTCTCCTGACTATCCTCCCTCCACCTTACTTCCTTGGGGGTGGTTCTTGAAGATCCTCTGTAAAAGATCTTAAGGACCGCACAGGAACATAGGGAGAAAAGCATTCCTTCAGTTATCCTGTCCCTGAGCCATTTCGGGCCTTGTATGTTAGCATCAGCACTTTGAATTGGACATAGACTTCAACAGGCAGCCAGGTAGCTGCTGGACCACTGGCATGATATGGTTTCATGGGCCAGACCTCGATATCAGCTGCACTGCCCTGATCTGAACCAACTGAAGTTTCTGAACTGTTGTCAAAGGAAGCCTCATGTACAATGCACTACAGTAATCCAAGCATGAGGTTACTAGGGCACAGATAACTGTGACAAGGCTGTCTTAGTTATTAGGTTATCTAATATTCATCAGTTATTAGGTTAGGAGAACTGGTATGGCTTACTGTTGGACTGAAATTTGGAAAAGCTGGGTTCTATTTCCCACTTGTCCGTGAAGCTTACTTACTGCATGACTTTGGGCAAGTCACAGACTCTCACCCTACCCTACCCTACCCAGTCACTCCTCCTCTTGCGGCTCATGAGAGTTAGGCAACTCTGATTTTCCCAAATGTTGCCATGCTGATTAAACTACTTAACTCCTCTTAATTTTATTATTTTATGCTATTTTATGCATTATAGTGGCATAAAATAATAGCATAAAAGATGTGATATTGTATATATGACATAAATCTGTTGAATTCCAGATGACCACTGAACAAATTCCAGCCATCTCAATTCACCTATACACTCCATGTGCCATATTGAAAGTTTTCTCTTCATTTGGCCACAGCCAGAACGATTAAGTGAATGGATGAAACCCAAAGCAACTAATATTGGTTTACTCCCCTCTTTACCATTCTTAACGCTTCTAGTATATGAGTATCATTATATTCTACAGTTCTTAGAGTTATTCTGTATTGAAACCTCTATTATTGAGGAAATTGTTGGAACTGGTATTTGTTTATGGGTGTGTTATTTCTGTGGCCTCCTAAATCTCTTAAATATTATTATTATTATTATTATTATTATTATTATTATTAACATTTCTATGCCGCCCCTTGCCGAAACCTCGGGGCGACTTACAACATGATAAAATACATTGAAATACAATAGTACATAATAAATTACCATTAAATATAAAAATACAAAAAATACATTGATTTACAAATATAAAATTAAATAGGGAGGAAGGGCATTAATGAAAATAGAAACATACCAATAAGGCCTCCTGGCACAGCATACTGCAAATCATTGTGTTCTGCAAAGAGTGATACAATTTTGGAGAAGATGGGTTTGCACATAAGTTTTCCTTCACTGTCCTTTGAGACAATGCCAGGTCTCACTTCAAGCTCCTGGCCTACCTATCAACAGATGAAGGTAAATGAAGGTATATTATGTAATACAATGCCCATTTCTAAACTGTGTGCCACTAACTGATAATACAAAAAACCAAGTAATATTAACTTATAATTTACAGCACAGAATACAATGGGTAATAGAAACACAGACATTGATAATATGCTAATTATCTAGTTCAGAAACCACAGAATTTAAGAATTCCATCATATTTGCCAAGGTATAGACCAACAGATAACTGTTACTTTTCCTTTATTTGTATTCATCCCTAGTAGGCATGTTTATTAAAAAATAAGAGTTGTAAAATTAGAGGTAAATTTCAACTCATCAAGATTGGCAAGTAGTACTATATTAGCTTAACATTTCAGTTTCCCCTTTTTATTTTAAATACCATAAGCCTAGATCCAAGAACCTAATGGACTGTTTATTAGCTCACAGAAAGTGTGAATCTTTTCTCAAATATAACAAATACTATTTGAAATAAAAGGACATATTCTAATGTATGATACATTATGAAAGTTAGTATTCAAATAGGGGGAAAAAGCCAAGCTTTCACAGGTAATAGCCAAATCCTTGGAAATTATCTTTAACCTCTTAGGTCTAAATGCAGCACTAGAGGCTGGTATCATTAAATAGAGAGGCTGTGTTTTTCTAGATCAGTAGTATCTCGGGAGGCAGCAATGGAAAGAAATAGTCATTACCTTTAATACACCTTTTAGAATGCTACCACCAGCTACACCACCCTTCAGGTCATCAACTTCACACCCTGGCTTGTTGACATCAAAAGATCTAATAACTGAGAAAGAAACAAATGATAGTGCTCACTTATATCTTAAGTCCACTTTTAATGCAATCTATGCCTATGCCTGTACAAGTACCTTTTCCCAATGACATTTTATGATCAGACCATATTCAGTGCCTTACTACTGTGATAAACACACACACAACACTAGGGGTTTTTTTTTTTTTTTTACAAGTCATCACTATTCAGCCTGAAACACACTGAAGAAGTTACTTTAAGAGACCTTCGATATCAACATTAGTGCATGCACATATGACAGATGGAAACATCATGCAAAACAAATACTTTATAACTGAACTGAATGTAGACATTTCAAAACCTACACAGACTAATCAATTTTTTTTCAAAGACTAGACACATTAGAGAAATTTGCTTGAATTGAGAGGTGCAACTTTTATAGTCAAAGGCAGCTTGAGCAATGGCTTTAAGTCCAGAGTGGTAAGCACTTCTTGCATAAGGCAGCCCTGCTGCTCTCTATTTCCTCATCTTGCTGCAGCTCCACCCATGTTGTTCCAGGGGACTTAGCAATCC